GTCTTGGTGGCGAGGATGGAGGTATTCTGAAGCTGAATGCGGTGTCCCAGTTCGATGCTGTGTTCAGCTACGGCCGACTTGTCCGGATGTTCGAGACGGATGTGCCGCTGATGCTCCTTCAACCTCGTGTCCACGGAGCGGCCTGTCTGCCCAATATAGACCTTGCTGCACTCGCATGGGATACTGTATACACCCGGTGTCCTTAGGCCCAGGCTATCTTTTACCGGCCAGAGGAAATTGGATAATTTGTTTGGAGGCAGACCCACTGCTTTGATGTTGTGCCGGGACAGCACTCTGCTAATACGCTTGAATATGGTCCTGACATAGGGAAGGAAGGCGACTGAGCCCGGTTTGTCTTCAGGCCGGCTGATGTTGGACCGATGGTTGAGAACTCTGTAGATCTGCCGGTTGTTGTATCCGTTCTTCTTGAATACATCCTTCAGGAGCACCAACTCCGCATGTAGGCTGTCTTGATCACACAGTGCTCTGGCCCTGTGCACCAATGTAGAAAGTGCAGCTTGCTTGTTGGAAGGGTGGTGGTGGGACGCAGCGTTAAGGTACAGGTTAGTATGGGTGGATTTGCGGTACACTCTATGGCCCAGGGAACCGTACAAAACCTGCGGGAAATAGAACAAGTGAAGGCAAGACACCTTAAACTAGCGCTAGGGCTTCCTAAGAACACACAATCCAGACTAACATACGAACTCTGCAAGGAAAATTTCCTATTAGAAGAACTCAGATATCAACTGCCAAGCACAAAAAACTCAGAGGAAGTTATCAAAGAAAGAAAACAAAAAAGAGAGGAAATATGGGAAGAGTTCTACAGCACTGATGCAATGACTGACAGAACCTGGACAGGACCCAACAGAAAATTACGACACACAATTACTAGGTTGGCAACACACGGATTCCACCACAAGATATGCAAGAACGAACGTTTCCACGAAGAAAATGACGCGTGTGTGTGTAAACACTGTGATAAAAAGTGCAGTAGATACCACATTACCATACGCAAAAACTTAACCACATCAATAACCGAATACAGTAGCGAATAGAAAACAATTACTCTATGCACATTGTGCGCATTCCCTTATTAATAATTTTTTGTGCTAATCTGAGTTCTATTTTAAATTTATGACAACAAGCACTCATTACCTCAATTGTTTCACTATTATCATTGATGAAAATTTGCGAACTGTCTCCATCATCCTCTGAATGCTCTGAATGCTCTGAACTGCTACGGACACTGCGGCAGCGGCGGCAGCAGTGGTGCTTTCATGACGTCACGACCGGTCACGACGGTTATGTTGTCCGCCAATAGCATTGAGTTACCATTCTGTTCTGTGATTCCGAAGTTCCGAAGTTACCGACTACCGCTGAACTGAGCTGAAACGCGTTGAACATTGTGATTTGCTGTCATCAAAAATGGGTGACGGAGAGAGGCAGCCTTTGCTCCAAAATGATAGTAGTGCTGTATACACCAATAACTCGGGCGATTTTACCCAAGGTATGTTTGAATATTTTTAATGTGCGAAAGATAAGTAGTGGGCTATCTTCTAAATTTACTAATTAGAGCCATGATTTATGATCACATGACTTCGTCTTTTGTTTGTCGTATGAAGTAATTATTAAATTATACGTGTTTAATTTTATGCTCTGTAATATGAAAATATTCGTTTTACGAAACAGGGCAGCAAGCAACAGTTTCAGCAATTGGACCAGATGAGTTGCCGCCACCGTATACCGCTGCAACGCAGGGTGGTGTGCCCATGGTAACTTGCAGAGTGTGCCAGGCTATGATTGATATATCTGGTAAACGTGAACAGCATGTGGTTAAATGTGGACAATGTAATGAAGCCACAGTAAGTACAATACATCATTTTTCAATTCTTTATTGTGAAGGAGAAATTAAATTCCATTCATCTAATCTTTAATTTTCAGCCAATACGTAATGCCCCTCCAGGGAAGAAGTATGTGAGATGTCCATGTAATTGTTTGCTGATTTGCAAGAGCTCATCACAGAGAATCGCATGTCCACGACCTAATTGTAAGCGGATAATCAATCTTGCCCCAAGCCCAGTTACACCACCTGTGCCCACACTACCAGGAATGTGTCGTGTGGCCTGTGCGCATTGCCATGACACTTTTTTGGTAAGAAACTAAGTGAAAAGCTTAAAGGAAAGAATTAGGTTAAAATATGTTACAATTCTAATTTGTATTTATATTTTCAGTTCAATGCTCTGAATAATGCACTGGCCAGGTGTCCACACTGTAGGAAGGTGTAAGTATTTAATTTGCTTATTTTTTTGTCTGGTTTGATGATTTATTTCCTAATTCAAATAACAAAAACATTTTTATTTCAGTTCATCTGTTGGACCAGATTTTGCACGGAGCAGAGGGATTATGTTCATCGTTATTGGTGTTCTGTTCTTGGCTGTTGGAATTGGAGTAACGGTTTGTATGCTGAAAAGTTTAGACTTGTGTTCATACTGTTTTAAGAATACAAATAGATGGATTTCCAGTTTACATTTGTTTACAGATTTGTCGCAGTACAAGTACTGTCATTTAGTCATAACATGTACCTGTCAGGTTTGTGTAGTGATTCCACTGGCCTTGTATTCAGTCAGAATATGGCCCTCTTATCAGTTATTCTGATGGTTCTTATCATTTTCCTCCGTCCCTCAAGGTAAATGCTTAGAACCTTGAAATATGCAATGAGTCTCCTTCAAACTGTTACTAGTGCATCAAGCATGATCATGTCCCATCTCATTCATGTGTGCTGCTGTTTCAGTATGTTACTATTGTAAACCATTTTCCATGTATTTTACCAAAGCATGAAATTGTCAGGTAGTGCAGCCCCTTAATTCTGATGATAATGAGATATCAAAATTGTAACATATTTTGGCTTACATTCGTACCTTCCGATAATAAACCTGATTATTTTTTTGCATCACATTTTGAAGAGGAAAGGATGGGTTTGAAATTTACACATGATGCCTAATATTTTGATGTCTGTGTTAAAAGTTAGTAAATTATTTGATCTGTTACGTAACTGAATACAACAAATAGGTGATGGCAGAGTATGTAGTACCCTAAGATATCCACACACACTCCTGCACTTTCAGTGTACTCTCTGTATGATGTTAAGCCAGAGTGGCTACATCACCTTTCTCCATTTTTTTTTCTTTTGTGAGTGGGCTGCACATAATTCTGATTAAACAACTTTGGGAGGGGAAGAAGTTCCTTGTAGTTGAGCTGGAAGGAAGGAAAATTGGTATTCTGAACACCATACTTGCAGACGTGATAGTGGTGAGTGTACCAGATTTGTTCAAAAAGTATATTGGAATTGCAGAAGTATATATGGAGATTTGAGGTCAGTGACAACCTTATTGAATACTCTAGTCCAGCCCTGTCCAACGCGGTACCCGTGGTATATTTTTCTGGCGCCCTCCATAACCACATATAATTGAGCCGATTTTTAATATTAATTCAAATTGTAAGACGAGACATTTTTGAACGTCTGAGTACTGTTAAATATTTTCGAAATATTTTATTATTATTATTATTATTATTATTAGTAGTAGTAGTAGTAGTAGTAGTAGAAGTACAAGTAGTAGTGTGTGGTGGCGCCCGCACCTCCATAGGCATCAGTGAATTGTGCCCGAGAACATAAGAACGTTGGACAGCACTGCTCTAGTCTCTGGCAGTATGTTTAATATAATTAGATAAAGAATTAACTGAAAATATTCATTGATTTATCATACACCCACTGGAATTTTAACTTACATTTTTATTCCAGGAATTATAGTTAGGTTGATCATGATTAGAAATTTGTGGAGATGGAGCAGAACTTTGTTACAGCATGCTTTAAATGTAATGACTACAGTGTGCATATAAATACATGTTCCACACTGAGTAGTTACACTTATATCACTTTCATTTCCTGTGAGAATGTGAGGACTTAGCTTATTTAAGATTATTTCACTTGGGTCAATACTTTATGGAACCAAGTGACTATTTTGATGCCTCCACATACAAAATCCTGCGCTTCATTTGAAGCTCAGGATTGCTGAGGGGATAATCAAAAGGGGAAGCACAATAGATCACTGTAGGTCATGGTCCAAGGGCCGAGAAGGCCTTATACATTCATTCATTCATCACTTTAATAGTTGTGATGACATTTTAACAAAATAATTTGTTTTGAGTAATTATGTTTAGATACACAGTCCTCATGGGGAGGTCACACGGTAGCATAGTTGGTTGAGGCACTTTGCTACAAGCCAGAAGGTCACAGGTTCAAGTCCTGATGAGGTCATTGAATTTATTCAATTGACCTAATCATTCTGGACGTGCTGTGGCCTTGGGGTCGACTCAGCATCTAACAGAAATGAGCACCAGGAGTATTCTTGGGAGTAAAGGGTGGCCGGCATATAGGGCTGACAACCTTGCCGCCATCTATTAGCTGATTGTCTAGAAAATGTGGGAACCCCAATGTCTTACACCCCTATGGGCCTCCACCTCCTGTTAAAGGGATACCTTTACTTTTACTCACTTACATATGGTCCTCACAAGCTTTGCAATGTACATGGATGATATGTACCTGAAAATGGCCCCTGTGTGGCCAAGACATTGTTCAGTTCATAAGTTGATGTGGATTAGCAGGTATCTGAACCAGGAACCACATAACTGCAAGACACTATGCTACAAGTCGGAAGGTCGCGGGTTCAAATACCGAGGAGGTCATTGGTTGACCTAATCCTTCCAGCTGCACTATGGCCCTGGGGTCGCCTCAGCCTCTAACAGAAATGAGTACCAGGAATAAAATAATTTTCCTGGGGAGTAAAACATGGCTGGCATGTAGGGCTGACAACCTTACTGCCATCTTTGAGCCAGTTGTCTAGATAATGTGGGACCCTCAACGTCTCATGGCCTGTTACAGGGATAGCTTTACTTTTTTTCTTTTACTTAAGATTGTGTTGTGCAGATATATCATGTATGAAATTGTATGAACTCACTAAGATTGTTTTAATTATTTTCCTTAACTTTTCCGAAAGAATGCCAACCACTTCCTCCCTCCTCTCTTAGGAATCACCATTGTGATCTTGTTATTTGTAGTTTTGCTGCACATAATCACATCAATCTGTATAGCTTTGAAGATTGATACTAACATTTCAGAGGAACCTGCTCCCTCAATCCTATGGTTATCCATCTACAAAGTACATGGTATCATATCCCAGAAGACTGTACTCTTGATACCACTATGAGAACCATAAATTTCACACAATCTGAGCAGTTGATATTGCTGTTAAATTCCATTAAGTGACAGGTATCATTACTTTACTAATATGTTTACTGTTACCAACTTCTGTTGATGCGCCTTTATATTGTCATGATGTTAGGGAGCGTGACTACAGACAGACTTTGGATTGCTGACTGGATTTATTGGACTCTTTGATGTAGCATGTGACTACACTATGTGGGTAACTGCTACACACACACACACACACACACACACCAATATCCAAAGTCACGTCTTCACTGCCATTGCTTGGTGGCAGGTTCCAGCAGACGTTCCCCTTGCTCTGAGCTCTCAAACTCTCCTCGGCCTCAGCTACCAGCTTCTAACAGCAACGGTTCCCAATTACTGATCTGCAGCAGTCCTCTAACTCAATAACTGTATCCAGTCCAGTAAATTGCTGTTGGTCCTCACCAGCACAGTTGTTCTTAGTATTGGGCCCCTCCCAGTCCCATTACTGTATTTTTCTCTCTTTCCAGATTTTATATGTATTGAAATGAGGCTTCCTCTTTGAGGATAGGAGGTGTCTGCCTACTGCTGGTTACTTCCCCTTTACTGGGGAGTGACACTGCTGACTCTCACTCTCAATAACTGCAACAAAGTCAAATTTACTTTGTTACTGGCTGTTTACTGCCAATCAGTTCATCTTCGTGCCTAGCCCCTCGAAGCTCACAACCACATTTTTTGTAAGGGGGACAACTGAATCCTTGCAGCCATAGTCCTTATGTAATATCCTCATGAGAGGATGGTTGCTTTTTTTATGAATAGGGTTTGTTTCGCCTTTGTCAAGTGTATGTATCACACGTATAGCATGTTATTGAAAATTCTTCCTTGTGCACTGTACAAGAGTACTCTGTTGGGCCAGGCTTTGCAAAGCAGATCATGTCTAACATACTTGTCTTATGCCAGAACAGCAGCTTATTCACTTGAACGGTCTTAAGCTTGACTGCTTTGAAGTTTAAGCCTCTTATATGTAGCTGATTCCAAAAGTAAGGTCTCCAAAGCGCTGGGTAATTTTTCATGCGGCTGTTGGCAACCCTGTTGCATTCCTTGCTTCCCCCACTCCCCCCAGTACCACCAAGCATGCGCGCACGTAGCTAGGACGCTCAGTCTTGGCACGGTTGCCGTTAGAAATGGAGCTCCCGATTACTAAAACCGCAAAGTGTGAGCGCAGTTATTAGGTTTTTGAATGCAAAAGGGACTAAACCAATTGAAATTCATCGTCAATTGGTGGAAGTGTATGGCGAGTCGTGCATGGACATAAAGAACGTCCGCAAGTGGTGTAGGGAGTTTGAATCTGGTCGTACTGCAATACACGACGAAAAAAGAACTGGGAGACCGTCAATTTCTGACGAGACAGTCACGAAGATTGAGCGAGTCATGCATCAGGATAGGCGCATCACACTCGATGATCTCTGCATTTCGGTTCCCGAGATTTCCCGAACCACCATTTATTGGGTTTTGACAGAGAAGTTTAATTATCGGAAGGTGTGCGCACGATGGGTCCCGCGAATGCTCAGGGAAGACCACAAACGGCAGAGAGTTGACTCTTCCCGTGAATTTCTTCGCCACTATGCTGACGAAAAGGACAACTTCTTGAATTCAATTGTCACAGGCGACGAAACCTGGGCGTACCACTTCACACCTGAGACAAAACAACAATCACGTCAGTGGCGGCATTCCTCTTCGCCTAAGCCTCGAAAATTCAAGCAAACACAGTCTGCCGGTAAAGTCATGGCAACTGTGTTTTGGGATCGAAACGGGGTATTGTTGGTTGACTTTATGGAAACTGGGACCACAATAAACGCTGAGAGATATTGTGAGACACTGAGAAAACTCAGGCGGGCGATTCAGAACCGGAGAAGAGGGATGTTGAGCAAGGGCGTAAGCATTCTCCACGATAACGCTCGCCCCCATGCTGCCCGACAAACCGTCGCTCAACTGCAACAGTTTGGATGGAACATCATCACCCATCCACCCTATAGTCCGGACTTGGCGCCCAGTGACTACCATCTCTTTCCAAAGTTGAAAGAACATTTGTCTGGAAAGCGCTTCAACAACGACGATGAGGTGAAAGCTGAGGTTCGAAGTTTCCTGAACAGCATGGAGGTGAACTGGTATGACATGGGCATACAAAAACTGCCACTGCGCCTACAAAAATGCATCGACCGAAATGGCGATTATGTAGAGAAATGAGTACATGTTCACAATTCAACTGATGTATCCAAAATTGAAAATAAATGTTTATTTTATATTTTCAAACATAGGAGACCTTACTTTTGGAATTACCCTCATATTTTCTGTGTCTGGCTTTGCCTTGTCCTATGCTGTAACCATATTTATTCTCATGGCATCTCCATGTTGCCTGCACAATTTGTTATATGTTCGTATACATATGGAAGTTTGAAAGCCGTGTGGAATTTGCAGATTCACTGTGCACCTTGGATAATTTCCAGTGTTGCGGAGAACCTTGTTTTGTAGGCATTGTAATTTAAAGATTCCCAGGTGGGGCAAGCATAAGTCATAACTGATCTGATAGTAACTTATGGATGGTTAGTTAAATATTGGCACTTAAACCCTCACTTTTCAATAGGGAGTAGATTCTAATAAATGTTCTGAAGGCCTTGGCTTCAGTCATTTCTGTGTGGAGTCTCCATGTAATCCTCTTATTGAAGATCACACCAAGATCTTTTACTTGTTTGATGAAGGGGATATTCCATCCATTCATTGTAAGATGTGTCTCAGAGGGCCCAAGTCTGAGAAAAGTAGATGGTTTGAGTCTTATCTTCCAGCATTCACGCCACGTCTCAGTAGTACTGAGACCTTGCTGCAGCTTTCTGAGAACATGACTCTCTTTGTGGTTTGTCACATATATACAGGTGTCACCAGCAGTGAGATCTAGATACACACAAGGTGGTTGGGGCATATCATTTGTGTGTGTGTGTGTGTGTGTGTGTGTATATATATATATATATATATGTTGTACAATGTTAGGGAAATGACGGAACCTTTGGTCACCCCTTCTTGTATATCCCTTGGCATAGACATTTCACCTTCGACCAAGACTCTGAATATTTCTGAGAAAGAAAAGAGCCAACAAGCTTGATTAGACTGATTGAAAATTTTAATTTAGATAATTTATACAGCAAGCCAAGGTGTCATGTTGTGTAACTAACTGGCCCTACTTATTCATCTTGGCACCCATTGTGTAGAAAACATTGTTTCTCTGTGGCAGTGCACTTGTTCCATTTGTGTCTTTTGGGGTGACCACGTGACTGCTACTGAGCTATTGCCTAGCAGTGGACATTGTTTGCAGAGCCATTACTTAGCAATGGCTGTTGTATGGTTGCTTATTTCACAGTCATTGCCTGGCAACAGGTGTACATGCCACATTATTTTAGGGGCCCATATGATCTATATATTATGAAAGTGCCATATATTTGAGTAACTTGTGCAGGGACAGTAGTGTCTCATTTTATATATATAATTATTCATTATAGTTGTAAAATTCATACTATTTAGGATTTTACAGAAAAGCCATTTACTATTTTGTAAAAGCATAATGTATTGGATAATTTTAATTTCACCAATTACTTACTTACTTGCTTACTAATGGAGCTGAGCCCTTCTTGAGGAGCCACCAATTCTGCAGCTACTCAAGAATTTCCCAGCATTTTATGGAACCCGAAGGTTCATCACCATGTTCACAAGAGCCCTCCACTGGTCCCTATCCTGAGCGAGATCTATCCAATCCATACCATCCCATGCTATCTCTTTAAGATCCGTTCTAATATTGTCCACCCACCTACGCCTTGGTCTTCCCTTTGGTCTCTTTCCTTCTGGCTTTCCCACCAATATCCTATATGCATTCTTGTCTCCCACATTCATGCTACATGACCTGCCCACCTCATTCTCCTTGACTTGATCATTCTAATTATACTTGAATTTCACCAATTACGAGAAGTAATTTTGAAACTCTTATGTAACGTGTTTTCAGGTTGGAACATACCGGTTTGCTCTCGTAAATGGTGGTATTTATGTAGTATATGTTGGTAAGTAACATTTTATGTATTAAATTTATGAAATTGGTTGCAGGTTGTTCATTTTGTATTTGTACCATGTGGATTTTAGAGGAGAAATGTGAATAGTTAAGAGCAGTTGTATGCGTATATTGTACCATTGATGTGAAACTGATTTCGGCAAGTGGCATAAGCATTGCATTATACCAAACTTTTTGCCCTCCAATATTGAAGAGGAGGAATTGTGAACAGTTGTATCTTGTCGGATATAATGTTATGCAGTACATTGAAAGTGAGCCAATATTCGGGGGAACATGTTTGATTGCTACAAGTTTCTTGCTCATTTCTTTATTGGCTTATTCTTCGACACGGACGGTGGAGGTGACATGTTCCTCTGGAAGGTTTGAATTTCAGCGGACCATGCATCTATCTTACAAGGTAGAACTGTTCATAATCACTGCTGTGAGAGCTTCTGATCCAACACAGGAGGGAATATGTTGGCTTGTTAAATGGGCTGGTACTGGACCACAAAAAGTAATAAAATTCGCTTATTTGATAATAAATTTAGAATAAAACTTATTTATGCCTTGACACTTTCACTGTAGCACTCTTGCTTGCCTTTTATTGCTTTGATAGAAGAGTATGCTTTAGGTGACCCAATTAAAAAATTTAAGCATTTATTTTTAAGATAATCTATACAAAAGTTATTTACAAAGACAAACCAACTCCTACTATCACAATGGGTGTTTTTGGAAACTACTTTCACCCATTGTAATAGTAGTTTCCAAAAAAATATCACTGTCCCTCTGATGATGGTCTATAGGGACCGAAACGTGTAAGGGTGCTAAGTTTTCAAGTAGTAAAAACTTCAGTAGTCAAACTGGACAGAGTTGTTTTGTCTTTGTAATTGTTAGTGTGATGGACCAGAATGAAACAAATAATTATTTAGTTTATCAACAGTTGGAGCACACTATCCATCTATCCACAAATCATTGTGTCTTCCCCTGCATTCACACTGAATGTACATTTACATATATTATAGCAGTTGGAGCCCACAGTGACTATGTGCAGGCGGGCACAAGAGAATAAATAAACATTGTTCTTGCAAGTAGTTATTATAGTATAACATTGTTAATTGTGTACATGAAGGTACAATATATTACAATATTATACAGTGTTGCAGTCAGCATGGATAAAAGGAGTGAAAGTGATGCATAGTAAATACACCAGTCCAATTTGAAATGTTTCTAATGATGGTATGTAACAGTAAACATGACTTTATTTTGTATGTTGTATATCTTGAGTTTTTTCAAACACCATTTTGGAAACTAGATATATTTCTGTCATCAGGTGTAAGCGAAGAAAGGTTCCTCCTCAGTTAGGCCCATTGCGTTCCCACCTCGTGACTCGGTATGCGGGTTCAAACCCGGCGGAGGTCGTGGAATTTTTAAGGGCGGAAAAATTCAGGGAACAAGTCCTCCGGGAGGTACTTTAAGCCGTATGTCCCGTGTCTTAGATTTACAGCACGTAAAAGATCCTCGTGTCTCTAGGAGACCTCTGAGCAAAATTAGGCAAAGTTTCCCGCCCAAGTAGTTTCCAATTCCTCTGGTAGGTGGGGAAGTATCGGGGACCACTGCCAGAGAGGGCCGACCTTGCTGGCAGAACGGGGCTGATAGCGAGCACCAGTACTGGAGGACGGCGACTAGTAGAAATTATAGGGGGACGCACAGTAGATTAATTAGTCGCGGTGCATGGGGAAACCCATCCCCTCCAATAATAATAAAAAATAGGCCGATGACAAAGACTTTCTGTCCATTACTAATACTCTTGAACCATGAGGCACAGCACAGATTTAATATTTTTCCAGTGAATGAAAGAATTTTTTAAAGTTTCATGTGTTTTTGTCAGAGCAGTTCATCTTCTGTTTCACTACAATCAGAAATCATAGTTTTCATGGGTGCATCTGTAGCCTTTTGGAGCTCCTATTAAGGCTGCTATGTTCATCTTTCCCTGGGGGTGAAAGAGCCAGAACATGAAGGTGACCACTCAGCTCCATATAGTGCAAATGTTATGAATGAGTGGAACTACACTAGCACTACCCTTGCATCTTTGTGGCACGCTGCTTAGTCCTTCCAGGACCAACCTGGAACATACCCTCATCAGTCTATCGTGTCTTCCACTGAGGCAACCCCAGTATATTCATTTCCAGTTATGTTTTTCTTGACACCGGTGCTGGATGCACTTGTGCCATATGCTGCTTGAACATTCAAATTTGTGACCCCTTTTCTACATTAAATAATCTCAAGTTTGTAATTTTGTTGATAAAAGAAATGTTTCCGGTAAAAGTGAAGGTAGGGTTGCTCTTGTGCTTAAGCGAGTGCCACACTGTGAAGATGTATGGGAAAATGGAGGTATAGTTCCATGCATTCTTAACTTCATCACTCAATGGAGGTGAGTGGTCATCTTCACACCCCAGCTACTTTATACCCAAGGAAAATGCCTCCATTACCCACTGGACAGGAGGCTGTATGAGCCTGTAGCCATTCTGGATGCTGTGATGATAACATCTCTTGAGCAGGTATTAATAAATGTGTACATTCTTGTGTTTACAGGTGCATTCTTGTTGGCATTGTTGGCTTTTGCACGAAGTGTTTATTATTGCACTATGAAGGTGAGCCTAATTGAGGGTCCAATGTAAGGGGAAGACAGTGGAGCAAGGTGGGCACATTCCGTGAAAGATGTGGTTGAATGATGCAAACAAGGCAGATGTCTGGCTTTGGTCTGCAGAAACTAAGCCAGATTGCACTGTTATGGTTTGTTTTGTTTCTTCTGTGTCACAAAACTAAAAAGTAATGATCGGATCCAGAAGAGTAGAAATGTTAATATCTTTCTGAAATGAAGTGGAAATTTGCAACAGTCCATGAGAAAAGTAAACGTTGGTATATCAGAAATGTTGGTCATTATTTTATGTATTTGAAACCTTTTTTGAACAGCAGTGCTTCCAGTATTCAAAATTGATACTGTATTTTTTTAAGCCAGCAATGAATTGTCCCTTTAGTGCTGAATGTTGTGCTCATTTGTGATAGGATGCTATTGTTCAAAACCCAGTTTACGTCTAACAGTATTGACACAAATGAATTTTCCATCAATATAATGTTAAGTTGATACAAAAGTAGCAGATATTTTGTGCATTTCTTATGCATGAATGGTGCCATAAAGCTGTGCTGTCTGACAAACAAAATGTTATAAATAACACTGTGTAATTGAGGTTGACCATATAATGATGTAGCTGATGATCTTCTAAGGAAACAATGCTACAATATTAATCTAGGCTGTGTCATATAATGAGATTTGAATTGTACATTAAATGAACAATCATCAAAAGTATTTTCAGAAAAAGAAAAGCTTTCCAGAAATCAGGTTTTACATTTCGTGGAACTGTCAGTTTTGATAGAAGCCTGGTGTTTGCCAGTTTCATATAACTTCAGAGTGACAGTTGTTAACAGAGGTTTGATTATTAAAAAGGGCTCTTGGTATCCTTTTAGCAAACCTTGAAGTTATGTGAGGCTAAAGCCAAATGTTGAGTGTGAAGTCATCAAAATGGGCCCATAATCAATTGTACATTCATTGGGTTTATGTTATTAATTCATAATATGGACATATGTTACAGTATATAAACATTTTAATGGGTACGATATATAATTGAGCTTCAGTAAAGACTTTGTTAGCCTAATATTTAAGATATTCTTTTAAGCATGAAACTCATATTTGGTTGTATAATAATTATGTACTGTTAATTTCATAATCCTTGATTATTACTTTAACATATATCATTACAATTATCTAATTGAAATTATACTTTGGAATATGTGTCTGATCTCTAGTTAGTTTTGCTGCAGTTTAGTGTGTGATTTTACCAAAGAATTGAAACCAATTGTATTAAAGCTGTTTGTATGTAATGCTTTACTGAATCAGTTCTGGCACTCAAATAATTCAGAAGAATATATTATAACAAGAGGATAAATGCAGTATTTGTTTCTGTAGTCATTTCAGTAATGAGTAACTGGATAATTTTCTGTAAATGGTCAAAAATGAAGCCATGAATTCATTATTTTAGAAACACGTGGAAAGAATTTTTATAAAAAATGCCTGGAGCTTACACAATCAAAAAATATTTGAAGTGCTTGAGATCTGCAAATTGTTGTGCTTTTCTCATAATGTCTGTCTTTTGCATATGCTCTTCTCCTACTCCAAAGCTAACCAGTCCTGCACTATCAGTTTTGTGCTGCATGATTACACTACAGGGTTGCATGTTCGCGTATTTTGTATTGATTTTAGTTATGTTGTGAAATCAATTTCTGTTAAGTAAGTGAAAGAGGAAAGAGACCTTATCTCTGTAAGAGGATAAACTGTACCAGAGGAAAAAATGTGAAACCAGATATTTATATGTATATTTGGATAGTGAGTTAGTTTTGTATAAACTTGTTTGTATCTGATTTGTTTCATTCTGGTCCGTCACAATAACAATTACAAATTATAAATCACTCCGTCCAATATGACCTGTAAGTTTTTTACTACATAAAAACTTAACACCCTTACATGTTTTGGTCTCTGTGGACCATCTTCAGAGGGTAAACATCACTACAAATAGGAAACCACTATCACGTAATTTGTTTACACGCAAAGTACGTACACTTATATGTTACAGCACACAGTACACAGTACACAGTACACAGAATAGAACATTTCACAAACACAGCAGTTTCCTGGGAATGTAAGTTTTAAAAAAATTGTATAAAATTCCTTGATGCTAATTAAAAGTTTTTTAGATTGTCAATAATTAAAATTCGTAAACCATGCAGGCTCGTGTTCGTCCTCCCATCAACTCCCTTATATGGGGCAGATATTGTGCCACCTGTCTATCTTGATGTGGAGGTTCTTTATATCGTCCAGGGTTTGCTCATGGCTGCTGTGCCATGAAAACAGCACAGCAGCCATGAGCAAACCCTGAACCTCCACATCAAGATAGCCAGGTGGCACAATATCTTCCCCATATAAGGGAGACGATGGGAGGACGAACACGAGCCTGCATGGGTTACGAATTTTAAGTATTGACAATCTAAAAAACTTTTAATTAGCATCAAGGAATTTTATACAATTTTTTTAAAACTTACATTTCCAGGAAACTGCTGTGTTTGTGAAATGTTCTATTCTGTGTACTGTGTGCTGTAACATATAAGTGCACGTACTTTGCGTGTAAACAAATTAAGTGATAGTGATTTCCTATTTGTAGTGATGTTTACCCTCTGAAGATGGTCCACAGAGACCGAAATATGTAAGGGTGTTAAGTTTTTATGTAGTAAAAAACTTGCAGGTCACATTGGATGGAGTTGTTTGTATTGTTTGTTTTGTATCTATCATTCCTTCTTTCCATCCTCTTTTTGTTGTGTTGAAGTCCATATGTAACGAACATTCCAGTAGAATCAATGGGTTCAATACTGCTAATCCAAAACAGACCATCTGACACAGCCTTGGAACATTTCCATCCTCATTGTCTGCTTGCCTCACATCTTCCGGAATTATAAGATGCTGTTCACCACGAGCTTTTCCACCCAAATGGCTACTTTTCTACATACACAAACACACAATTTCCTAATTTAGTTCTATACCATTCTCATATGAATCAAACAGTAGAAAATGTAATATTATTATTATTATATTGTTCTTTTCCATGCATCCTGTTGTGTTATTTATTATATACAGTTTCTTTATTAAGAGTCCGTCACAACACAACAATATAAAGGCGAAGGCTAAAATTAGCGTGGCTACATGTTTTGGCTATTAAAGTCATCATCAGGCAAACACATGGTTACCACATTCACACACTATTGAAGTGCAATTGCGATGGTGAAGGTGGATGCTTGATAATTATTACATTATAAAATGCATGGTGTAAAAGTACAATGAACTATAAACTTATTATAAAAACGAAAGTTATGGTGTAAAATAAGGTTAAAACTCATGTGAAATTCTATATCGTCAAATCGGTTGTTTTAATTTTGTTATATTCCCGCGGACATAATGGTATATTCTAGACTTGTATACATGTAATAAACTGCTTGCAGGCCCATGTTATAAACTTAGTATAGTTTTGATGTTAATCTGAAAATGATGCGAGAATAATGGTATTAAGTTTATTGTAATTAACTATTGATTTTGGTATCGATGATATAGTTGTATTGTTTACTTATTGTTTCTTCTTACAATGTATTATGTCTGTTCTGTAGGGAATCTAGATTGCAACTGAATTTTGTGATGTATGTTATTAGTGAAGTTTATGCAAGAGAGGGAGGGATAGGGTGTGTGAGGATGTGGCGGGAGGGGAGATATAACTGTAGATTATGTTTGGTATGCATCGATGATTACAACATATATAGGGTTAAAAGTTTCAGTAAAATTATCATTCAGTTGTAAATTTTGTTTGCTGATTTTATAAATATGAACTCTTTCATAAGTATCCAGTGTTCGGCCTTTCTTGCAGATATATAGAATTTCCAAAGTTTTGTCCATCATGCTATATCCATGTGTGGTGTCCAGTATATGTTGAGCAAATTTAGAACTTTGTCCATTATTTTTATGTCTCTTATGTGTTCTCTGAATCTGATTTTAAAGATATGTCCAGTTTGTCCTATGTATTTCAATGGACAGTCAGCACATTGTAGTTGGTAAACACCACTAAGGTTGTACTTATCATTCTTGTTTTAATTTATTTTTAACAGATGTTTAATATTGTTTTTTTGTTCTATATGAGATACCAACTTCAGTATTTTTAAATAATTTGGTAATAGTTGATTTCATAACTGAAATAGGTAAAGGTGGTCCATTTTTTTTTTCTTTTTTTGCTGCTATAAACTTTCTCATTAATCGATTCAATCAATATCCCCTTTTGCATAAAAGCAAAAACATAGAAGAGAACATTGTTAGAACTATACTAAATAATAATAACTACCCACTAAATACCATACAAGAAATACAACCCCCCCCCCCCATAAAAAATACCATGCAAGAAAAAAGAAATGGACCACCTTTACCTTTTTTGGCCATGAAATCAGAACAGTTACCAATTCATTTAAGAATACTGAAGTTGGTATCTCATACAGGACAAAAAACAATATAAAACATATGTTAAATATAAATGAAAACAAAAATGATAAGTACAACCTTAGTGGAGTTTACCAACTACAATGTGCTGACTGTCCATTGAAATACATAGGACAAACTGGCTGTACCTTTAAAATCAGTCCTTTATATTGTTGTGTTGTGACGGACTCTAATAAAGAAATTGTATTATTATTATATTTTCCCATTAATTTGTTTGTTGGCTTTATTGTGTTTGCTGGACAGTTATTCTTACTTTCTGGCTACATTCTGATTTGAGTCAGACATTTCTTTTTGTAAATCTGCATGTCAGCATATCAACAACAGCTGGTATCAAATGACTGAGAATGTTTCCGTTATTGGGTTCTTTCCTAAGACACATGAATCATATTATGTGTATCGTAACTCCCTTTGAATTTTTTGGTTGCTTTTAACCAGTTTAAATTTTCATTTTTAAGTGTTTGATCAAGTTTACTAACCTCAACTTTATATAGCCACTGCTTAGCTGTGGAGCCTAATTTAAAATTGAATTATGCCGATGATAATTTTTTTGAAAGATATATGAACAGTCAATTAAAAATACTGATATCTGAAAGCTTTGTTGAACATCTTGGCTATGGAAATCTGTAATAGTTGTAAGGGAATTAAAATTTTATTTATTTATCACATTAAAATGCAGTGTTACAGTTCTTTCAGCCAATGCTGTTATGTAATATGCTGATCCTCTTTCAGGGAAATAGTCTTCTGCATCACTTAAAAACTGCTTCCATCTCAGAATTCAAAGAAATTCATTAATGTAAGTTGTGGTCACCTTTTTCTGTTTAAAATGCACTGGCAGTAGAACAGCTTGCAATACAAAAGGTATCTTATGAAATCTTCTTGAGCTTTCAGCCGTGTGAGTTGCTTAAAAATTACTGGAACATCGGTAATTTTTAAGCAATTGACACGGCTGATAGCCTTAGAAGATTTCATCAACTTTAGCCACTGTGAAAGCTTCAGCTTTAGGGAAATGTAATCATAAAATGTGATTATGGATTATAATAGCTACTTTACTTTCAGGTCTTGTCTGCTGTATTAAATACTACTACATGGAAATGCAATGAACAATTTAGACAGGATATTCTGATTTTTAGAAGTTTTACAAAATTGTATGTCATTATAAAGAATGTTTTATGGAACTGGATTATAGAGTGATACATTTTTAATTCTTGTTATGAACATGTCTATGAAATTATATTGTGTTCCTGCACCAGCCATGAAAGGTTGGACAGTCATCACACAGTATGGAATGCTTATGGGATGGATAATTCAGTATTGTCTCTTCTGGGTGAATAATTTGCTGTTCTCCACGCACATTTTGGTATAACCCATGTACAAGTACTTGTGTTCAGTTTTGAAAGTGTGATGTAGAACCAAAAGTTCAGTCAAGATTTTTTTCACTTGAGGCCAGGCTAATTGAGATTGTTGAAATAGCCTTACAGTAGGATGTGACCACTGCATCCTCATTCTTAAGAGAAGAAAAACGTTGCAGTTCATTGTGACCTTAATCTCTGTCTTCATAATTTTCATACACATATTGATAGATGCAAATAACTTTTTGAGATGAAAAGTATAGTGGTTGGAAGTGGGACAGGTAAATGTATAGTTATCATGTGAGTAGTGTATTAAAGTATTTTACAAGCATCTTTGTTTCAGGTAAATGTACTTCAAATGATGAATGGGCATCAAAGTCAGAGAAATATTCTTGTTAAACTTTCTGTTGTTTGTATACTCTTCTGGATCTTGGTTACATAATGGGATTTTTTCCAAAAAGAATGTTTGTGCATCCATAAGCTTGTCCATTTGAATTGTCTACAAATTAAATATTTGATTATGAAATTTAAGAGTTGAGTGACAGAAATGCAGTCCATACTAATCATGTAATAAATACACAGATATGCACTTCTGTTATGCAGCGTGAAATACTGTAAAATATTAGAATTTGGAGATATGGGAAGCCAGTCATGTGTCCTAAAGAATATATGTTCAGATTTACACATATTTGTTTCATAATATAGTGTAATGTGATTCCCATATATGTACGCTGAAGGGAAAATGTTTTGTGCGTTATATAACAGAGAACATGTGATGTAACTACAATTCAGGCATTTAATATTCATAGATGTACCAAAAGGAAATGTACTAGGGGCTGTGGTAGCTAAACTTGAATGCTTTACTGTGTTTAAGTTCAAGAAATATTTGACTGTATATTTCTTTTTTCAGTGCAGTATAACATTCAGATTTCATGGGAGAATTGGCAAACCAATGAAATGATTTTACCAGCACTTTATATCATTGACTTGCCAACAGATTTGTTATACTAAACAGATACATTTAGTAAAATTTCCGACATTCAGAAGGGGATATACAAACATTTTGTTTCTTTTCGTCAGTTCTTAGATTGGTCATCTCTAGAGCCAAACTTAGTGTAAAACTTCTTGTAAGAATTTTATTGGAAGTTATCATCATCACCACTCATAATTAGTATATGTATGATAATTTTGACTGATTGTCAAGCAGTTAGAAGAGGTGTAGTAGCAACTGTATTTTTAACACACAAAGGCTGAACATCATGTCCGGGATATTTGACATGAATTAGAACACGTGACCTTAATTTTCAATGCTGAAAGTTGTGTTGTGGTTTCATTACAGATTATTTAGAAACATACTTATAAAATTACAGGCTGGTATGGTATTAGTGAATGCATTCAGAATTCAAATTCCTGTATTAGAGAAACTGCTTAGGTATATTTATTGTATCAATATGTTAAGTTCTGTTTCAATCTTTACATCATATATAGCTAATGAAATTAAAGTGATTCTGAATTTCAAGCTCATTTTCTTCTGTCCCATATTCTTGTAACTGGGTCCAGCCAGTGTTCCTTCATACATCTGTTGCAGTTCCAATCTTCAAGATGAAACTACAAGCAAAATTGACTGCATGAATGTTGACACAGGTGATTTGAAGCACAAAAACGTTTGTGTGCAGCACACAGTGTAGCAGAGGAAGGCAGATCCTAGTGGGAAAAAATATGAACATAAATGCCATGCCATAGCTCAAGCAGTTAGTTGCTGGCTTCTCACCGCAGTGGCCCAGGTTGAAACCCAGGTCTGGTCAAGTGGGATTTGTTGTGGACAAAGTGGTGCTGGGGCGGGTTTTTTCCGAGTACTTCGGTTTCCCCTGCCAATCTTCATTCCACCAAATTCTCTGTCATAATCACCCAGGGCAGGCTACAGTAGGCCAATCAGTGTGGCTGTGCTGAGTGGACCCAGTTGGACTCGAATTAATATCCAAAGTCAGTCTGCTTATGAGAGAATTTCTGTGACATGTTTAGTGTGATGTATGTGCACACATATTCTTTTCTTGACTAGTGACACAAAAGGAGCTGAGAGCATTGTTGATCTCAGCTCAGAAGAAAAGAGAAGGTTGCCATCTGCACAATGGTCACTAATCATGTCATTTGTGCTCTTAACCTCAACTGGTTGGTGTATGTGTAACTGATTCTCTGTTATCCAGTGTACTACAGTTGGGTTAAGTAATTTCAAGTTCCCACTCATCCACCAGAGGTCTCTGCAGTTATGCAACCGCAGCAAAATCTGGAAACAGAGTAGGGAGCTTTGTGGACAAGCAGAACTGGAATATACTCATATCATGAGTGAAAGTTCCTCTACATGCCATAAATATGGGACCCCCCAATTTGACTTCCATTCTGAAGGAGATTGTGCTGTGGATCTTTATAGCCCTTAAATTACCCAAATAACAACTGAAGGAATGAAATGAACCTTGAAAAGAGGTTTCTTTCACTGTAAATGTGTTGACTGCTGATGGTGATGGTTCCAGTGCAGATATCATAAAGAAAGTGGAAGAACTGTTTGCATGGTAGGTGTTACAGCAGAGGGTACCAGGGTTTTGTTGTAGGTGGTGTGAGGTACAACATATTATCTTTGGGAGTTATAACTGAGGGCAAGGAATCCAAGGAAGGGGTAGGTAATGAAAGGAAAGGAGGTTGTGGGAATGACTGAAGCAGAATTTGGGCCATATGGAACTGCCACTCTATTGAGGTGTACCCTCTCAGCTGTAGTGAAATTACTTTCAGAGAAATATCTTCCACAAATATTTGTTGTGCAATGCTCTAGCAAAATAAATAGTGCAGAATATCCCAACTTTTCCTATCAATACCAGAGCCATATAAGAGTACAACATACTGCCTCGATTCCTAGAAATAATTCGTTGGCAAACATTACAAACATGGGGCATGTACTAAATTTTTGGGGTTATGTTAAATAAATTTAATCCAGACATACGCTAAATTTAATTTCTTTATTGGATTATAAGTTACCAATATATAACAACGACATTCACAACAAAAGATTTCTATGACTAGAAATAAGTAACAGGAAAATGTCCTCATGAGTTCTCAAAGTTGTTTTTTTTTCTTTGTTTTGATACAATTAATAATGCTCCTCTGTCACTGACTCTCCAACATCAGGAAATTCATGTGACCATTCCCACAGGAATTAAAATCACAATCTTAATATAAACGACAATGCTTAAGCAACACATAATGAATTAAAACAGACATACCATGCTGGATCCCTGAGAAAGTTGAATTTTAATTTTTTCTGCCTACTGGATATTAAGGACCTAGAGGCATAGCTTACGCTTATTCTCTCCACTTCTACTGCAAGAAGCAATAAAGAAATATAATCACTGCACAGTAGAAAAAATAAAGTAAAGCTATCCCTTTAACAGGCCGTGAAGGCCCGTAGTATTGTGAAACGTTGAGGGTCCCACATTATCTAGACAATCGGCTCAAAGATGGTGGTAAAGTTGTCAGCCTTACGCGCCGGCCGTGTTTCACTTCCCAGGAAAATTATTTAATTAATTCCTGATACTCATTTTTGTTAAGAGGCTGAGTTGACTCCAGGGCCATAGTGCGGATTGATGGATTAGGTCAATTGAAAAAATCCAATGACCTCATCGGGACTTGATCCCGACCGTTTCAGGTGGCTGCTTGAGATGAAGTGAGCATTGTGGTTTCCAGTTTCCTTGGTGTGCCCTCACCCTAACGCGTGAAATTATGCAGTATTATTATTATTATTATTATACATAATGATCCCTGACAGTAGTATTTATGATTATCTTACGTCACATGTAGCTGATCCGTGGCATGGGATTGTTGGATTACGCATGTGTACTTTTGTACTAGGTGGTATGTTGTGAACCGTGGGAGTTGTATGCAGAAATGTTTGAGTCTCGGTAAGGTGTTCGCTGTTAATGAATGTAAGGAAAGAAAAAAACTCAATGTGTTAAGAGATTGTAATCTGAACTGTACAGAAGGCAGTTCTCTGCAGTTTCTTACCGTGAAATATTGTACAGAGAGCCAGTATTGTATGAGAATTATATGGTTCCCATGGTGCAGCCCTCCACGCCATAGCCCCATGTCATCGGTTTTGTGTGGAGGTATATAGAAGGATTGCTTCAAATAAAATGGCCTATAATTACCCAGCGGTGGGAAATCCTCCTCTTCCACCAGGCGCAATGAGTAAGCACAATTAATTATTCGTCTGTACATCACAGTTTTATAATTGATTTGTTACATGTATGTTTACCCCCGATTACGTACCTTATGGCAGGGTTTTGTGCATTTTATACATGTATTTATCATTTCTAAGTGATATGCACGTTAGACATAGAGATATTGGGTTTTTGGACTTTATCCATCTACCGAAAACCCAATATCTCTATGTGTTATACACCATCGTCAGAATCCTATAGTAATAAATATATGTGGTTCAGTTTTAAGAACGTATAGGTTTGTTAAGACACTTGAAGTTTAGGCAAGGGAAAAAGGTACATTTGGTGTATTATTAAGGTTTTAGTACCAAGTTTCTGTTTGAATGTGATTCTGAGATTTTCTTCCTGTACCGTGATTTGTAACATATATTTCTATCTACATTTATAAGATATGTTTTGCAGGTGTACTTATTTTAGGACTTGAAGTATGTATATAAAGAATATTTCTTTTACAATGAAGCACAGACGAATATGAAGGTGCATGTATATTTTGATAAGAACTGAAGAAAAATCACAAAGCTGTTACAAAATATGAGACATATCGTTTTGAAGAACTGTGATGACACAGTGTGAAGATTTAATGCCAAACGCATGTAATTGGATATATTGTAGCCACTTCATTTCTAGTTACAACCTTTTCCCCTTAATAACATATTCTCTATTATCCTACACTTTCATCAACCTTCCAAGTTCCTGCTTTCCAATAGGTATCATCCATCAACTTTGCATATGCATATTTTATAAGAGACGTCCTGAACTTTTTGACAGATGAATGAGTATCAAGGTTCATCAGGTGTAACAATTTAATACAAAATAAAGCTTTTAAATAACAGGTAGTCATTGGAAATTTTCATATGCATATTTTATGTCCCCATGTCAGCTGATGGAATCAAGTCATAAACAGGGACCTGATTATTTAAAGTTAATACACTTGGGTACGTAACCAAACCTTGCAAGGAGTTGGGATATCTCAGTTTGTGTAATGATTGGCTACAGGCTGGACAACCAGGGTTCAATTTCGAACATGGGCAAGAGATTTTCCTCTACTTCACAATGTCCAGACTAGCTCAAGGGCCTTTCCAACCTCCCCAAATGGGGGGGGGGGAGGGTC